CAGAGGATAGACCTTGGGAGTGAGTCCTGAAGGTGTCGGACCTGGAGATTGGACCCAACTCATCAGGCCTGGAGGAACGTGCCTGTTCAGCCATCTTACTAGCCCATTGACTTTACTACCACATACATCCCTCCATCCCTCCTCCCTCCATCCCTCCTCCCTCCCTCCATCCCTCCTCTCCCTCCCTAGTATTCCCTTCCTCCTCTTGTGTTTCACCCTCACCCCTGCCGTGTGTGTGAGTGTGTAGGGCAAAGTTTGACACTGCGTATCATCTGTAACCCCTCTTTTCCCAGACAGGATGTGATATTTATTACTGAACATGATTTAGTAGGGTAGAGGGTAGCACCGCAGTAGAAGCCCTGAGGAGTGTGGGGCCCGCCAATGACCATGGGACCAGGATTGGTGATGCAGCTGACCCCTCGGCCATCAGGAACGAGTCACTTCTCAGCGACTGTGTCCTTCAGATCAATCTACATTCGGTTTAGTGAAGCTTCACCTCTTTGAGAGAGACAGACAAAGAAGAACTCAGTGAGGAGAACCAGGGCAAGAAAGTGGGAGGAAGGGGCTTAATAACACCATTTGCCTCTGGCAGCACGGAGAGCTTGAACTTGGCTTTATGTAGGGCCTCCATCCGATGTTCCTTATTCTGAGGCATGATTCAGGTGGACGTGATGGCCTGGACAGTGAGACCCCTGGCCGTGGTGACCTGAGGCTTCCTTCCCTAGGGCACAGCGAATACCTGTCTGGGGCCAAGATTGGAGGCGACATTGAGGTCAGAGCTCGAAGAGCCTTCAGAAGATTGTTTCCAAGGTCCCTTTCGGGGAGCCCATACAGGCAACAGGGTGAGGTCACTCCAAACGAGTGTGCTGTTGGCAAGCATTGCACACCAGGCCCCAGTGAGAAGCTGCTGGCAACCATTGCACAGTGGGCCCCGCTGAGAAAGGGGACCTCCCGTGCAGCTTAGTTGGCTGAAGATTTACCTTATCTTTTAAGACACAGTCTCTCAGTGAACATGAAACTCACTGATTTTGTCAGGCGGAGTGGCCAGAGAGTTTTGCGGATGGATCCAGCACTCTGTCCTCCACGCCAGACATGCTGGCTCTAGGGTTTAAGAGTATTGCTGTGCCTGGATTTTCCGTGGGCGCTGGTGATCTGAACTCAGGTTCTCATGCTTGCATGGGAAAACCTAACCCACTGAGCCATGATCCTTGCCCATCTTTAATTTTATGGTCAGTAACATTAGTGTTAGAAATGAATGACATCTGCGGTGCCATTTCGTCCCACGTACACATGTGCATGGATGGTGTGCAGCCTCACCATACTGCTACCTTCTCCCTGCTCTCAGATGCTACATCTCACAAACCTTTCTCTCTTCTCAAGGGCTGGTATTACAGACACTCACCGTTGGCCGGAGATGTGGTATGTGTATGTAACTGTGCGTGTGTGTATGTGTCCGTGTATGTATGTGCAAATGTGTTCATTCAGGTTCCCGTGGAGGGTGTCCGACACCCCAGAGGGGGAGTTATCAGTCAGTCTTGGGACACCAGACAGGGTTCCTGGGATTTGATCTCGGGTCTTCTGGAAGAGCAACAAATGCTCTTAAACTGAGTCGTCTCCACAGCACCCTGTGCTGAGGTTTTCAAAGGTTCTGGGGATCTGAACTCAGGTCTTCATGCTAATTCAGCAAGCATTTTACCCGCTGAGCCATCTCCCCAGCTCCATGTACATATTTGTTTCATAGGCTTTGAACTCAGAAATTTTATCCGTTCCTTGTCCACACTGATGATGCATACAGAACACATTCTGTGACAGTTCTCATTATTTCACTGTGTGGCATCTACACTTTGCAAATGTGGGTCTGCCTCCGGGGGCACATTTCAGCTCCTATCACAGTGTCCCAGTCTGTGGGGAGCAGGAAGATCCTTGTGCTCACAGATCTCCTGGGAAACCAGGAACGTTAAGCATGCAGTAATGTCTTCTCAATGGAAAAGATGTGAGACCTGTTCTTCCATCCAGAAGGCTGGGGATTGGAGGTGATTAATAGCCTGGTGATCTTCACTATCTGTCGGACCAGGCCATATCAAGCTCCTACAACCAGGACCGGAAGGCAGATAGTAATCTAAATGGCTCCTATGAGCAGGGGCTTCCTATACTCCACAACCAGGACCGGGGATACCTAAGAGTCTAAATGACTCTAACATACTTTGTACAGCCAGTGGCTCCCCCAAGCTCCCACAACAATTACCAAAGATACCAAATAGCCCAGATGATGAGTTCAGGTCCCCAGAACCTTTGGAAACCTCAGCACAGGGTGGTGTAGAGACAGCTCGGTGTTTAAGAGCACTTGTTGCTCTTCCAGAAGACCCGAGTTCAAATCCCAGGAACCCTGTCAGGTGACTGATAACTCCCCCTCTGGGGGGTTTGACACCCTCCTTGGGAACCTGAACGAACATATTTGCACATACATACATATACACATACATACACATGCACAGATACATACACATACCACATCTAAGGCCAATGGTGAATGTCTATAACACCAGCACTGAAGAAGAGAGACAGGATAGAATCCTGGCACTCAATGGCCTAACGCTCTAGACCAATCAATGAGCCCCATGGTCACAGCGTTACCCTGTGTCAAAATAAGTTAGGTGCCTGGAGTATGTCTGGCTTCCACATGCAAAATCACATCTGCCGGCATATGCACATGCAGTTGTGAACACACGCACACATGCATGCACATGCATTCACGCACATGAGTTCTACATACATGTGATGTGGGAATCCCCTCTGTATGCTCTGAATAGGTTTAATACCGTTGGTTAATAAAGAAGCTTCTTTGGTCAATGACAGGGCAGAATAAAGTTAGGTGAATGCAGGGAGAAAGACGGCAGAGTCAGGCAGATGCCATGCACCTGCCGAAGGAGAAAGACACCGGAAACTTACCTGTAAGCCACAGCCTCGTGGTGATAAACAGATGAGTAGAAATGGGTTAATTTAGGATGTAAGACATAGCTAGGAATGTGCCTGGGCTGTCGGCAAAACTGTGTTGTAATTAATAAAGTTTTTGTTGTGAATATTTGGGTCTGATTGGCCAGGAAATGAACATGAAGTCTCCACTTACACATATGATCACATAAACATACGTAACACATACCAAAAGATCTGCACACTCTCACACACACATATCCACACATGTGTGCTACACATATGAACACATATATATGAACCACATATCAAAAGATTTACATTTGCAAACATACACAGAGGTGGACACATGCATTCAAAAGCAAGTGTGTCTACACATAGAACACATATATATGAAGCACATACCAAATGATTTACACACATCTGCAAACACGCAGAGATGCACACATGCACTCACACACAGGTGTGCCTACACATATGAACACATTTACACATGTACTGCATACTAAAAGATTTATGCATAAACCTGCATACACCATACACGTGTATTCACACACACATGTGCTACACATAGGAACACATTTACACATGTACCACATACCAAAATATTCTCTCTCTCTCCCTCTCCATCCCTCTCTGTCTCTTTCTGTTTCTCTGTCTCTCTCTTTCTCTCATACACACAGGAGTACACACTAGAATAATACAAGATTCAATGATAGGGTAATAGATTTTTCATCTACTACTGATAGAATATCTCAAGTAGGAGATACTCAGTGCTGGAAGCATTACTGAAGGTCCATACAATCACAGATATTTTGAACAAAGGGGGAAGTTCCCCTAGATGATTCACAGTTTAGGAAGTACCATGATTCTGGCCAGAGGGGAAGTTCTCTCATTGACTGTGGAGAAATGAATTCTGCTTGTAGAAAATGAGAGATGCCGAACGCACACTTGTTTTTAATGCTTCTGCACCACAGGACACAATGAGACAAGTGGTCAGGACGAGGAGAGGCCCCATGCAGAAACGTGAGTTAGCATAGGACCATTTTTGTTTAAAAAGGCATGAAACGTTGGGAAGGGAGCGCAATTACATGACTCATACCAGCAAGTCTGAAACAATTCCATATTTATGAAACCAAATGTTTCCAAGTAATGATTTCCCATGGAATATTTATATATATATATATATATATATATATATATATATATATATGTGTGTTTGTGTGTGTGTGTGTGTGTGTGTGTGTGTGTATGAAGGAAACCACAGGATAAGAGTCTTAAGTGTACAGAAGACCTTGTCTATCACTGATGTTCACATACTACGTGAACAATAATTTTGAAACACAAAACATTCTCAGTTCCCGCTATCCATACAAAGGAGGAAATACATAAACCACGAGGAAGTGAGCTTAGGCATACTAAGGATCAACTCTTAATGTGACAGGCAGTTGACATCAGGTAGCAGACCACATTGCATTGAAAGACCTTATAAATTTTGTCGGGAAGTGACATTTTCACATACTCGTCACAATACTTACATCTTTTTTTCTTCAGGAGTTTTAATGAATTCTACCAATTTCACTACTTCTGGGGCACAGTCTTTTCAAGTCTACAGGACGCATTCTCTTTGCAGGGTTATCGTCATTCCCATAGGCTCCATGACTGAACAAATGTAACAGCAGTATGCAATGGCAAGAGTGTGCCTCCTTTAACTATTTCTCTGAAGATGACGAGGATGGACCACTCTTGTGCCTTCTAATTTGGTCAAGTTATACTGAGGTACAAGACCCCACTGTATCGACACCAATGCACTGCTAACCATTAATTACGACGCTACCAAGAAAAACTTGCCATTACGACCCGTGGGCTGGAGGATGCTATAGACATTTCTGGACTGCTGTCACACAAATCCTTCGGTTTACTTGGGTTTTAGCAGAAAGGGGTATCTTTAGGAACAGGAGAACACAAGAAGACGTAGTCACTGAAGCCGCAAACCACAAGCAGCTTCTCTCAGAGAATTTCCATGAGAGAATCGCTCCCCTTGTATCGACTTTCATTTCTTCAGAGTATTATGAGAATAACAGATCCAGGAGAGACAGTTGACCAGCAGCATTCTCTTTCTGGCACTGTGAAGCACAAGGACATATTAAACGGACATAATAAACAGTGTTCATCAAGCCTCAGTTTGCCCTGAAAGGCTCAGTACTTACATTCAGCATCAGAAGTTTTATTTTCAAGGTGGCTATTAGACGTCTCAGCTCTTCAATGAGGGAATCTCCCCGAGAATCCCTCAGTATTACAAGTTTCTAAAGTGAAAGAGACATGGGCAGAAATCAGCCCTGGTCATTTTGTTTACAAATGCGAACAGCAATATTTAAAAGGGACTAGATGTGGTGAAAAGACATGGTTTCATTATTCCAAAACAAGCATACAGCATGTGCGACATGGAGATCCATCACCCACCAAAGAAACACAGGCGTTACCACTCCACAACCCACTGCTGAAAGTTCAACCTTGTGGCATTAGTGGGGGGGGGGGCTCAGGGGAAGGGTGCTTTGCCTACCTAGCATGTGGGAGAGCCCAGGGTCCCACTCCCCGCAAATCAAGAATGAAACCCAATGAAAACAGAGAGCACGAGGCATGAGCTCATTGACTGCCACTCACTCATTTCTTTGGGAGCTGGAGTAGCTTGTCGTGTACCACTGAACACCATGAAATTAAAACTCAAGGTTTCCACCCCCACAGTGCCTTCAGTAGTGTGTGAAATAGCACATGCCACATCTAAATGCTTGTGTGAAATGCTGTGGGGGGGGGCTTATAAAACTTCCCAAGACCTCTTCCCTTGGGCACGCCACCCCTGTGACCTGGTGAACAGCCAGCCTAGCCACAGGGGCAAGCGAGTTGCAGGTTCAGTGAGCCATCCTGTCTCAAAAAGATACGAAGGAGAGTTACTGAAGATACACACGGCTGGCTTATGACCTTCACACACACACCCAGAGGAACGTACACGTGCGTGTGCCTCAGTGCACATACACACCCAAGGGAAAATGCACTGTGAGACAAGAACAGACAGTCTGAAAGGCATCAATGCCCTGTACAATACGAACAACTCTGGATGAAATCGCCAAGACAGCAATTCCTCCTTCAAAGGACTCTACCCACCGTAATGTGAACTCTAAAAGTAAAAACTTATTTTGTACTTAGGTTTACATGGAACCTTGACACCATGAGGAAAATGCTGGAAGATGCTCTGGTACCATGGTCTTGCACTGTTTCAGTAAAACCCTGACTGGCCAGTAGCCAGGCAGGAAGTAGAGGCAGGGCCAAGAGAACAGGAGAATTCCAGGAAGAGAAAAGGGTCAATCTTCAGTTGTAACCCAGTCCAAAAGGAAACAAGATGAGAATGCCTCGCTGATAAAAGGTCCCAAGCCATGTGGCTAACACAGACAAGAATTGTGGGTTGAGATGTAAGATATGAGAGTTAATGAGAAGACTGAGCCAATAGGCCAAACAGTTTATAAATAAAATGTAGGCCTCTGTGTGCTTCTTTGGGAATGAATGACTGCGGGACCAGGCGGGACAGAAACCTCTGTTGACAGGAAGATGTTTACAGCTAACTTTCCTAAGGAATAATCCAAAGCTTGGAAGGAACGCCAGAGTATTCAATGTCCGTGTGTGTGGATTGCTTTCAGAATGTACAACAGACCTCCAAATACTGTTCACACAGATCTTTAAATTCTTCCATCCTCTTCTTCTGAATACCCAGAAACTGACGAATAAATTTTTGCTGCTCCTTGAAGATATTCTGTGACACAGACAGTAAAAGATGTAAGAACAATACAGGAAAACTCAGAAATATTACAAAAACGCGACTCTGTATCATATTTATGCAAAACATATACAAGGAAATCACTAGTAATTTTTCAAGCACAATGACCACTTCACACGAGTTATCTAATACTAAAAAATTACCATAGTGATGAGAATCTCATTCATTTAATGGAACGTTTTCCTATGTAACTGTAGCGGCGTAAATAAATGCAGGCAGATTGTAAAGAATATATACAGCTTTAATGAAGAAATAAACTTACAGGACCAAGGTTCCCACGGAGCACAGGAAGCAGAAGGGGCGCACGGATTCCCGAGCGCCCGATTTATAAGTAAACATTCGCCCGAGGCAAGCCCGCCCCCTAAGGGGCTGGCTTAACACTACATCTCCCCCTTTTGTCTAAATAAGACAGAACTAAACCAAATACAACTATAAACAATAATAACAAATGATAAATATAACAAACAATATTGAGAACAAAAGTTTTGCTATACATTCTATCTCAAGGAGTCTAAATAATGTAGAGAGTAACTAAAATTATATAATCTTCAACTGCATCAAAGATCTGAGAAGGGAATTAATATTACTTAAAAAATGAGAGATATCCGAAATGTGCAACAAATGACAGAGACAACTGACTACCTGGGCAAACACCCAAAGTCTCGTTTGCAATGTTGAGTCAACCAACTTTGGCTAATGCCTAACATAGCTAACATACCATTATTAAAGGCAAGGAACTTTCTTAGAACCATCTTACCCTGTCTTGGCAGGATAAGACAATCCTGTTTCATCCACTTAGGGATATTCTATATCTTTGTCAGTAGATGAGGTATGGGCTTTTCTTAACCCAAAGGCCAGTTCTGCCAAGAAGACAAGCTCCCAGTGGAGTGTCTTTGATGCTCAACGTTCTCTCGGGAGTAGAGTGGCATTACAAGGAGTAATTGTGTCTCATTGGCACAGAATTCTCGGTTAGATTAAAGGCCATTTTCTACAGCTCTTCGAAGAGGCTGAAGATTATACTATCTATACTAAATATAATCTCTATGTATCTAAAATACCTGATTAACCTAAAAATAAATATGGCAAGCATATAATTCTCAATACCTATCTAACTTGAAGACTAAAATAATAAACAACTGTGCAATATATGAAGACAATGATCTTCAACTGTAAACAATGTCATTACATATCAAATGTAAACAATGTTATTACATAAATAGGATCAGAGGTAGAAATGTACATTGTGATATGGTAGATGTATCAATACAATATAAGCATACTCTTATACAAAAATAGAGGTAGGCACCCTCACATTCAATATTCAATATAACAATGTACAAGAAACAGTACCAATATAATTTTCTAAAAACAGTAAATCACAAATACCAATCATCCCATTAAACCAGTTAATCCCCCCCCCTTTTTTTGAAAATACCCCTAATTCCATAAAGTATCTCCCCATCCCCTCAACCCTAAATCAACCACTAAAAGATGTCCCTAATCCTGCGGGCAAACTCTGTTGGTAGGGGGGACGTCGTCCTCTTAGATTGCTTCTAGCTGACATGGGGGCGACGTTCTCCTTAGGGGACCCTGTGAAAGAAAATGATGGTAAAATTCCCCAAATAACCTTTGACCTAAGAAAATTATAACTAGTCTCTGAGCGTTTTGAGAAGGTCCAGCCAGAGTGTTGTCAAAAATGTGCACCATTCAAAATTGTCTCATGCAGTTGGCACCAAAAAACAGGTCTAATATTAGTGCTTAAAGATATTCATGACGTCATAAAAACCAGATTGAGTTGATGTTGTGGGGCCCCATCTTCATCCTGGAAACTTCAAATATTACTGTAGAAAAATTTGTTGCTTGTTATGGGAAGTTTAAACATTAACAATAAAGACATATACTGACATATAAAGAAAGACACAGATATGAGGAAAGGCAAAGAAAGTTTATCAAGTATACAATTATTCTTATTCTGTCCCATTTCATGGCTCCTGAACTGAGACAGAAACTCTGAAATATCTCTTATCAACAGGCTTGGAATTGAAGAGGGACTGAGCCATAGTACAACTCCAGAACCAGCTCTACATATTCATAAAGAAGTGTTCGATAAAACATATATAAATACAAAAATCAATACTTACAGAATATGTAGAATTTTACTGTTGATCCTTAGTGGGTCATAACTAGTTTCCATCCATCAGTAATTAAATATTCAGGGTCCCTTAAAGTCTTTGAAGATGAGTATTTTCCTGTGGAGATAAGAAAAGGACCCTGCCCCCAACCTAACTGTATTTCTTACCATCAACATGTTCGCCATCCTTGTGAATGAATTGTTATTTATCTTTTCCACGTAGCTTCTCTTCTTCAAACCGAACCTTTATTAATTTTGACGGTATCCACAATTTTTCCTCACCTGTTGAGATAAGGGCAAAACCCCTTTCCCAACGCAGCACATCTCCTGGCTTCCATTGTGAGGTCAGCACATCCTTGAAATAAACTGGTTGATTTAGTTCAGTAGACTTTTCCATTATCCAATGTCTTTCTGCAGCCGTTGTTCCCTTCTCATTAGCATTGAGAAAATTCAAGGTTAAAAAAGCATTATGTAACCTATTTCTGGGGGTGTTTTCCAGCCCTTTCTGTTTGTTCAACATATCCTTTATAGTTCAATTTGATCTTTCTATGACTGCTTGACCTGTAGGATTGTATGGTATACCTGTAACATGTTGATATTGTAATAATCAAAAAACCGTTTCATTTTCCTAGAGACATAAGCAGGACCATTATCTGTCTTTATTTGTGTAGGTATACCCATGATAGTCATGACTTCTAATAAATGAGTGATTACTGAATCAGCTTTTTCTGAACTTAAAGCAGTTGCCCACTGAAAGACTGAATAAGTGTCAATGGTGTGATGAACAATGAACATACTTCATTTGCCAAATTCTGCAAAGTGGAACACATCCATCTGCCAGATTTCATTCCTATGGGTGCCCTTCGGATTATCCCCTGCTGGCAGTGGCGTTTGGTTATAGAAAGAGCAAGTAGGGCATTTCTTTACAATCTCCTTAGCTTGTTGCCATGTAATAGAAAACTCTTTCTTCAAACCTTTGCTATTAACATGATGTTTTTTATGAAATTCAGAGGCTTGTAGCACACTACCAATCAATAATTGATCAATTTCTGCATTGCCTTGTGCTAGAGGACCTGGCAAACACATATGGGATAGGATGTGTGTTATGTCCATAGGGCAAAGCCTGTTCCTGATCAAATCTTGTACCTGGATAAACAATGAGGGTAGTTCTGTATCATCAGGTATAAATTCAGCAGTTTCAATATGTAAAATAACTCTTTCTGTGTATTGTGAATCATTTATTATATTAATAGGTTCTTTAAAATCTCTTAGTACCATAAGAATGGCATATAATTCTGCCTTCTGGACAGAATCATAAGGACTTTGTTCCACCTTACCTAAGTCTTCTGATTTGTAATCTGCCTTCCCTGATTTATTGGCATCAGTATAGAATGTACAGGCTCCTGTTATTGGAGCATCACGGACGATTCGAGGAAGGATCCAAGAAGTTCTCTTTATGAAGTTAAGCCTCTTGCTTTTTGGATAGTTGCTATTAATGTCTCCCAAAAAATTAGCACAAGCTCTTTGCCATGGTTCATTATCTTCCCATAATTTCTTTAGTTCATCAGCAGTGAAAGGCACTATAATTTCTTCTGGGTCTATGCCTGCTCATTGACGAAGTCTCAGCTTGCCATTTATAATTAACTCAGAGACTTTTTCCACATAAGTTTTCAGTTTCTTACTTGGTTTATGTGGTAAAAAGAACCATTCCAAGATAATATCATCTCTCTGCATTAAAATTCCTGTAGGAGAAATTTTTATGGTAATATGAAGAGAATATAATCGAGCTCTGGATTCACTCTGTCCACATGTGCCTGTTGTAATTTCTCCTCAATCATTGTCAGTTCCTTTTCTGCTTCAGCTGGTAATTATCTGGGACAGTTTCAATCTTTATCACCATCCAAGGTTGTGTTCAAATAAATTTTTAGATCATGTGCTATCCCAATAGCTGGTCGTAGACTGGAATTGTCTCCTAACAGTCTTTGAAAGTCATTAAGAGTCTGTAGGCAATCTCTCCTAATTTGTGCCTTTTGTGCCTTAATTTTTTGCAAACCTATTCTGTAACCTAGATAATTAACAGAATCTCCCTTCTGAATCTTTTCAGGAGCAATTTGCAATCCCCATTTAGGTAAAAGTATCTTTATTTCTTCAAACAATCTGTTCAAGGTATCCATGTTTGAGTCGGATAACAAAATGTTGTCCATGTAATGATATATTATCGATTTGGGAAATTTCTTGCAGATCATTTGCAATGGTTGATTCACAAAATATTGGCATAAGGAGGGGCTATTTAAAATACCCTGGGGGAGGACGGCCCAGTGGTACCTCCTGGAAGGTGGAGAATTGTTGTAAGTATGCACCGTGAAGGCAAATTTTTCTCTATCTTCTTTATGTAAAGGTATAGTGAAAAAACAATCCTTTAAATCAATAACTATGAGAGGCCATCCTTTTGGTAATAAAGAAGGCAAAGGGATTCCAGATTGCAGATGGCCCATAGGTTAAATAACCATGTCGATAGCTCTGAGATCTGTCACCATTTTCCATTTACCTGATTTTTTCTTAACCACAAATACAGGAGAATTCCAAGGGCTGGTAGATTCTATATGTCCAGCATCTAATTGCTCTTGTATCCGCTGTTCTTTATATATATATATATATATATATATATATATATATATACATACATACATATATATATATATTTTTTATTGAGAAAAGGAAGAAAAAAAACAAGTTTCCACCTCCTCCCAGGCTCCCATTTCCCTCCCCCTCCTCCCACCCTTCTCCCCCTCCTCCCATCCGTCTCTCCCTCCTCCCACTCCTCTCCCCCTCCCTCTCCAGTCCAAAGAGCAGTCAGGGTTCCCTGCCCTGTGGTAACAGAAGCACAATTCTTAGTTAAGGGAGCCACCTTAGGGTTGGCAAGAGACTTGAACCTAGAGTGGCTCCCAGGAGCCCAAGCCGAGGTCCCCAGTTAGTTCCTTGGGCAGCTGAGGATAGGGAACCAGAAATGACCCTAGCCTATAGCAATACCGACGAATATCTTGCATATCATCATAGAACCTTCATCTGGTGATGGATGGAGATAGAGACAGAGACCCACACTGGAGCACTGGACTGAGCTCCCAAGGTCCCAATGAGGAGCAGAAGGAGAGAGAACATGGGCAAAGAAGTCAGGATCACGAGGGGTGCACCCACTCACTGAGACAGTGGAGCTGATCTACTGGGAGCTCACCAAGGCCAGCTGGACTGTGACTGAAAAAGCATGGGATAAAACTGGACTCTCTGTATCAGCTGTTCTAAAGCCATTAACTTTTCCTCAGCTAGAGGCCATTGCTTTGTCCATATTGGTTTCTCAGTCAACCATTTTGGAGGCAAGGCTGTTGGTATCTCTGAAGGGACATCAATTGCTTGTTCTTGTACAGCCTGAATGGCCGGTTTTCTCCGTTTGTAATATCTTTTAATATTATTCTCAGAAATATAGGCTCTAGAAGTAGCAGGAATGCTAATTTCAGTATTCCATTGTTGTAATAGGTCACGACCCCATAAATTCATTGCGATACTGGCTACATATGGCCTTAATTTTCCTATTTGTCCCTCTGTCCCTATACATTCAACCCATCTCGTACTCTGCCTTTCTCGACATAGGGTTCCAATTCCCAGGAGCTGAATATTTACATTCTGAAGAGGCCAATATGGATGCCAAGATTCTGGGGTAATGATACTTACATCAGCACCATTGTCCAGCAGGCCAGTAATAAAAATGCCATTCACGCACACTCTCAGCTTAGGTCTTTGATCATTTATAGAAGTATGCCATAACACACATAACTCAGCTTTTTGATCATTATTTTTTGTAACAGCCGGCATGGGGCTTCCTAATTGTCCTGACGAGGCACGTTCTCTGTAGAAACTGGAAATGACTGAACCATGTTTGCCATGGGGGACTGTGAGGCCGGTCTCTCACGTCTCCCGTCTGTATCAGGTTGCCTTGTCTATCTCTTGTAGACCTGCATTCATTCGTCCAATGTCTGCCTTTTCCACATCTTCTACATAAACCTGAAGGCTGAGTCCTCCTATTTCTGTTATTTCTAGAAGATGCATTATTATTATTTCTGAAAATCGTTGTTTACAATTCCTTTTCAAATGACACATTTTGCCACAATTAAAACATTTGGTATTCTGGTGTCTCCTTTTACCATTGGAAATTGCTTCTTCTACCCATGCTTCAGTGCCATAGTCAAATGTACCAACATTCAGTGTATGCAAGACCCATTCTTCTAAGGGTGCTTATTTGAGCTTTAAATGCCCCAAAATCTTTTTGCATTCCACATTTGCATTTTCATAAGCCAAAGACTCAATCATTATACATCTTGCTTCTGGGTCAGATATCCCTATTTGTACAACCTTAGTTAGTCTTTGTAAAAAGTCACTAAAGGGTTCTCTCTGACCCTGTTTAACTCTGACAAATGATTCCATTCTCAGTCCTGGGTCTTGTACCCTGTCCCAAGCCCCGAAGGCTGCTGTAGTACACACTGAGAGTGTGTTTTCATCCAAATTAGCTTGTTCCTGAGGGTCGGAATAAAGCCTTCCACCTAGAATTTTATTTAGGGAAATGTCAATTCCCTTCACTTTTCCTGCTGTTCTAAAAGTCTAGCCTCTTGACTGAATAAACATTTCCATTTCAATTGTGGGCCACTCTCAAGGACCGCAGAGCTCAGCTGAAGCCAATCCGAGGGGGTTGCTCTGCTTGTTGTGGCCCAAGATTTTAGCCTCTCTTTAACAAAAGAGGCGTTCATCCCAAAAGTCATGACAGCATGTTTAATTTCTTTGAGATCACTCATACAGACAGGCTCCCATGTATCTTCCTTGATGACCCTAGAGTTTCTGGAACCAATCACCTTCTCTGTTGTTATTACTGGAAAGGCAGGTAGATCTGTAGGTAGAGCTTTGTGGAAATTGTCCCGGAGGGATTTACCCACAGATGTAGTTAAAATTTGCCTTTTTACCCTTTGCTCTTCTTCATCAGAATTTAAAAATTCCTCAATCTTTTCAATTCTATTCACCATTGCCTTCTGCAATGTCTGAATCTCCTGTCCAGAATTATGTTCCAAAGCCTTCATTGAGGCTTCTAAAGTATGAAGTTTGTCCATTAGTGATAACTTCTCATCTTTGGACATAATTTTTATGTCATAAACCGTGCCTTCTTTTATTGACAATCTTGCCGCCAATCTGTCATAAGCTTTAGACAAAATTCGATTGTCACATTCAGCAGTTTTGATTCTCTCAGTTAATGTTTCAGTTCCTACAGAAAGGGACTGCTGAAGTTTACGATACAAATCAGCTGTACCTTCTTCCATAGTAATGAATTTCTCCTTAACATCAGCCTGTACCTTTTCTAAATTTTGCTCAGTTAACTGAGTCATGTTAAACAAAGATCTGTTCTCTTCCTGGAGAACTTCAAACTGATTCTTGAGAAGATTGTTGTCGTTCTCAATAGTTTTTAAACATTCAACCTCTGCCTGGATTCGTCTCTTAAAGACTTTATCACATTTATATTATCAAACCTTATAGTACCAAGGAAAACTACGAATCCCAGAAATATCCATAGATGCGGGGTGATAGATACCTCTTGTAAAATCTCCCACATGGTACACTCAAAAAGGCTGTTAAAATCTTGAATAGTAACGTTCTCAGACATTTTATTTATAAAAGAAAAAATTTTTTTTTTACCTGCAATGACCGGTTCCTGCCAGTGGTGGCGAAAGAGTCCACTTGAGTCCACGTGGCCTAAGTCTGAAATAAGTGACTCAAAAACAAAAGTTGGAGCAGACACCAGGCTGAGAAAGAGCAATTGGGGTGGAAGGGGAAGAGAGAGAAAGCCGCCAAAGTGAACAAGTCAAAGGGACGCATGGCGCAGCGCCGGCTTGCAGGGACTGCAGGGCCTCCCTGCTGCCATCAAGTGACAGGAGCGCTGGGCAGAGGTGGGAGGGGAACAGAGCAGCACTGTGTACTGATGACGCTGTTACAGATGCACTTGTACCACTGTCGGGCAGGGTGGGGCGCACAGACTCGTGGTGCGAGGCCAAATCCAAAGCTGGGGCTAAGTCTCCCGTCCTGTTTGCCAACCTGTGATTCAGAATCTCAGCTGCTTCTAGGAGCAGTGCTGAGAGGGTACAATCTGCGTGAAGAGAGAGACCTCCAGAGGGGATGGTGCTGCTGGCTACCTGCGGTTGCCCCCAGGTGCCCCCGATTCAGAGCGGGTATTCGTAAAGCCTCACTGGGCTCCACAAATGTAGCGGCATAAATAAATGCAGGCAGATTGTAAAGAATATATACAGCTTTAATGAAGAAATAAACTTACAGGACCAAGGTATGCGAGGAGCACAGGAAGCAGAAGGGGTGCGACGGGTCCCCATGCGCCCGATTTATAAGTAAACATTCGCCCGAGGCAAGCCCGCCTCCTAAGGGGCTGGCTTAACCCTACGCGTAACAGTATCTAAAACATTGCTGTTAGTTTCTGAAGACTTGAAAACCCATCCATTAGAGGCTGTCATAGCTGGTGAACCCTCTGTGTTTATAGAAATCTCCCTGAGATGGCCCCAGTGTCTCTCACTCCCTACATAGGAACCCACTCCCTTTTGTTCTTGCCAGTAAGAGTAGAGTCCAAAGCTGGCCTGCTTAACAGGCAAGGATTCTGTAAGACTTACGTCGGATACTGTCCTGGACCAATATAAGAATGCACATCTAAGAGTCTTTTGAAACCAATTCTGTGAGATGGGGACCTTAAGTATCTCTCCTCTCACACCTAGCAATCTGAGACACAGAGGTAAATTATTTTCCCCAGTGAGCGTGACTAGCAAGGGACTGAACCATGACTGCGTTCCAACTGGTGGGATTACAGAATGCAGGGGCCATACTTCTGCCCACTGGACTGGACGGGGGTAGGGGTCCCCTCCATCTCCCTCCACATCCCAGCCTCGGCCTCCCCACCTTTGGACGTCAGAATCTCCAGGGGGGCAGCTCCATCCTACACCAGGAAGGAAGATTCCCTCAAAGATGGCACTGTTCGGTGTCAGGCATTTATTTGTGCCCCAAAACTCATAAAAACCTCACTCAAATCTCCAGGTTAAAGGAGAGTCAGTCATCCCATGGCCATCACAAATTGAAGCCTTGCCTTCCTCACCTCTGGGAGTGGGCTGGTCTGAACTCCAAGCACTGAAGACTAAGCCTCCACCTGCTCTGCCACAGCCACAGGGACTGCTCTCACTCTGCCTGCCTCTTCACTGTGTCAGAAGGCTCTGGTGGGCCTCCTGCTCCTGGTGTCTGCACTTCTTGGGTGGATCAGAAAGGGCTCCCTCTTAAGATACAATCCCATACCTTCTCCTGCACTCTCCAGGCAGTGCCTGCTCACCCGCCCACCCCACCCCCCACCTTGATGGCTGCTAACCATCACTGACCTTGTCATCTCTCTGCGTGTAAAGGAACAAACCAGGGGGAAACAGTCAGTGGGCAGTCTCTTGTCACCACATCTACCACCCTGCTTGCCTCCCTAAGTCCTTGTCTCGTTCCTTCCCTCCAGACTTGCTGCAGGAAGCCCTGCTACTTCTGATGCTGACACAATGGATTCCTTGAAAGCTAAGCTGCTTGACACTCACAGTGAGGTTTTTTTTTTTTTTTTTTTTGCATGTTTCTTGACTTCAGCTGCATCCTCGGATATCTTTCTTTTCAAAGTCTTCATCTGAAGAGAATATTAATGATAAAGTTTCTGCCTGTGAATGATATAGCAAGGAACAGTGTGATACTCCATCCCAATAGGAAGAAAGTACATTCGAAGCACGACTGACTTGCCCTCACTAACGCTATTGGTGGAGGATGGGGAAATGGCCTCTAAACTATGCAGACAGGGAAAAGGAAGCTGATTGGATTATTTCATTCTACATCACAGCATTTGCTCCTCCCTGCTGAGAGAGAAGTACCTTCCCACGCCTTTGTGCCAGAAAGCTCAGGAAGAACTATTGTTTTACTATCATTCCACAAATATTCATCTGTCTGACAGACACAACTTGTGGTTAGTTCTCTCTTTCTGAAGAACAGGTCCAAATAGCATGCACATTCGCTCCCATCAGAGAATTCTGTGGTGGCCTACCTGCTTGCTCTTCCTCACGCTGTGCCAGTGTGAATCTCGGTACAGTAGCATAGAGAACACTGCTCCTGATAGCTATACGGCTTTGGACGCATGGGATTTTCATTTCTATGGCACCGAACAGAGGCTCAACTGACTGTGGGATGAATGCTTTGAGGATTTCAAGCTCCAGGTGCCCAGCACGTTCACGTGATGCATCCTGTTCCACTGACTCAACAGCAATGTGTCAAAACGGTCATCGTAATTCATGCCTAGGAAATGCAGCTGACTTCGGTGATGATGTGAGGCTATAACATGCCTAAAGAAGTCTACCCTATACACAAATGCCAAGCCAAACACGTTATCCAACTGAGCTTCTGGCCCGTGGGGGTCACGGCTATTCCTCAACCTCTAGCCATCGTGCTTACTAACCAAATGTCAAAGCGTCTGGGATAACAGCACCAAGAAGCAACAACCGTACCTATGCTCGCCCTGGATTTTTAGAATATCCTCAAATTTCAGCTCCAAGGTTTGGAAAGACTCCGTGATGATCGCTGTGAATCTTTCGCTGTTGCCCTGAAGACAGTTCTTATTGGGCTCTGTATAGAAACACATTCTTGAAACCATTACTGTAAAGTTCCGTCAACTTTAGTTTTCTACTTAGAAAACCACTTGCTATTAATAGAGGGAAACAATCTGTCAATGGCAAGAATATCTGCCTCCTTTCTTTCAGTCAAGAATTTCAGTATTTATGACCTTGATGTGAGATTGGAGAGCTGGACTTCAGTGTCTATATATTACAGACAAAACACAGTGAAGGGAACTTAGCAAAACTGGCAAGAAAGGGTTTCAAATCGCTGTGTAATTTCCTCATGGGGCATCATTAAAAGGTAAAATTCAATCAATGTACATATTTATGCTCCAGTTCAAGGACACATTCTGAGGGACTGTTGGGCCGCTTTGTGCAAAACACAACAGTAGTCCGTTTACAAAGATCTCCAAAGGCTCAGAGATTATTGCACAGTCAGATGAAAATACTGTAACTATTGTAGCCATTGGAGCTTTTAGGCAAATTTGACAGGGTAGACACCCTGAATATTCTAACGGGGGAACCACACTGATCGATAAGTCTGTGGTACTGGGGATGGAACCCAGAGCCTTAAGCATAGAAGGTGAGTGCTCTCCCACTCAGCTACCTCCCTATCCTGATTCCTGAAGTTTCCAGAATCGATTCTCTGTCAGAAACCTCTACAGAGCTCCTAGAACGTTCTCAGATTGTAATGTTTTTTTTTAACTGTTTGTGTGACTGACTTCTGACAGAGAAATTTAAAGCAGGACTCAGTCTGCGCATACAATGGTCCCAGTGCTGACTTCAGCTCCCCACTGCATGTGCCATTCTTTACACATTAAACAGTGGTCAGGTATTTAAGGGAGGCTAGCCACCACCCCTACTCACACACACGCAATGCACACGCACATACGTACAAACACACAGGGAGAGAGAGAGAGAGAGAGAGAGAGAGAAAGAGAGAGAGAGAGAGAGAGAGAGAGAGAGAGAGGAGACAGAGAGCTGGACTAAAATACAAACAAGTAAAGTAATATGTGGTATTTTGTTTGGATTGTTTTTCGAGACAGGATTTCTCTGTGTAGCTTTGGTGCCTGTCATGGAACTAGCTCTTGTAGACCAGGCTGGGCTCGAATTCACCGAGATCTGCCTCCCTCTGCCTCCCAAGTGCTGGAATTAAAGGCATGTGCCACCACTGGCTGGCTTCAAATGTGATATTAGAAACAGACATATCACTTGTGCGAATCAAAACCTTGAAGACAGATAATTACATCTAATTTTCAAAGATCCCACTGTTAGTAAGTAACAGCATCCACACCACAGGTGTCATGTTCTCAATATTGGCAATTAACGTGAAGTAGAGAGTTGGTAATCTAATAAATACTATTTGACACTGTTTGAGAACAAGGCAGTAAACACACTCTCTTGTCTGCCAAGCGATACCTCCCTCGCCTTGCACTTCTTTGGTTGAAACAATTTTCTCAAATTCCTGATATCTCCTAGAATGTACCTTCAAATTCTTCAAATAAATTCTGTATTTTCTTCCTGCAAAGAAATTACCTTTTTACTTCGATGTACATAAAAGGCCATTCTTGTAGTGAGTGGAAGAAGTGGAGGGTGCCACACAGCCTACATACAATTCACATTTCAAGAACAGGCCACCTTATTCCTGTCAGACAGGCTCTATGACAGGACCCGTACTTTGTTGGAGGCATGAGATTTTCATTCCTTACCACATTGAACATCTGATCTACTGTAGGATGCTGCTTTGAGATCCTTAAGCTCAATGCACCCAAGTACATCCACGTGGTGCATGCGCCTTAGTTGCTGCATTTACTTACTTACTTACTATCTCCGTTTATTCTGTTAGTCTGGCAATCAGCAAGGACCCGCAATATCCCCCAGGTTCTTCCATGCCTCAGCCCTCACTTCTGGGCTTAAAAGCTGGGCGTGGCCACGCATGGCTTTATCTGTGGGTGCTGAGGGCCTGAACTCAGGCTCCTGTGTTTGCACCTTAAGCACTCTTCCACTGAGCCCTCTCTCCAGCCAGACTTTTCTAAATTTATTTCGTGAAAACATGAAAACGTATCACCTGGCCTCTTGCCCTTCTGTTCCAGAGGAAGTACCGTCCTCACCACTGACATCAATGACTTCTCTTCCTGGTGTTTTAAAACAAAAGAGGAAAACTATTTTGAAACAAAGTGTGCTGTTCTCATCATCCCCCACGGAAAGCAGTGTCATTATAGTGTTTCTAGATTCCATAGCCAGCATCTGTTCCTTACACTTTTTCAATAGTCATCCGTGAAATCATGAACACACACACATACATGTCACATATACATCACACACAGAGACACAGACATACAGACACACAGACACACACATACATATCACATATACATCACACACAGAGACACAGACACACAGAGATACAGAGATACGCGCACACACACACACACACACACACACATACACACACACCACTTTAGGCTTGACTCTCAGACCAGTTGGTCCAGGCACCTGTACAGGCCTTCCAGAGAGTCACTGTGACCCATGTGCTCCCGGAGAGGCATGTTGACTAGGCATGTGGCAGGTTTCCTGTGTGGCAGAAATTTCAGGTGGGGGAACCTAAAGGCCCCAAGAAGCTTGAACAAGAGTTATTAGCATCTGAAACCTCCTGCTATTCCAATAAAAGTTCATGCACATAATCCACTCAGTGCTCCACCCACCAAGAGATTTTAGGATGTCCCCCGGGGTGGACACAGCCCTACAGGGCCCTTCTGTTTTTGTTGTTGTTGTTTGATTTTTTTTTAACCTTGGGTGATGAAATCTGGGGTCTTGGTGTCATGCAATATGATATGCATGAGCCTTGGATGTGTGCCAGCACTGGCAGGAACTTTCCCACCCACCAAGAGATTTTAGGATGTCCCCTGTGGTGGACACAGCCATATGGCAGCCCATCTTGTTTCTTCAAACCTGGAGTGATTGAATCGGGGTTCCGGGTGTCATCTGACATGAGAATCAGACCTGCCTCGGATGCGTTTCAGAACTCTCAGGGGCTTTCCCACCCACCAAAAGACTTTAGGACGTTACCCAGGTGGACAGAGACCTACAAGGGCCTATCTGGCTTGTTGTTGTTGTTGTTATTGTTTCTGGTTTTGTTTTTTACCTGGGGTGACTGCATCTGGGTTCTTGGTGTCATCCCACGTGGGATTCGGATCCAGCCTCGGGTGGGATTCGGATCCAGCCAGGGTGGGAGAATACCTGCATGGATGATTTGCCATTGAGTAACTCTGCTATGAGTCTCCCCAGTTGTGATAGGGATCCGAGAGGAACCTTCCTTTGCTCATGCACCAGGACAGTGGGATCTCAAAGAGGCAGGACCGAGGGAAACCTGTGGGGTGATCTCAGGAGCTTTGCTTCTAAATGGGACTGAGCAAGGCCCCAGAGTGCAAGGTTGGGGAGGGGTCAAGAGGGCTACAGGGATTGGGCAGGCTGAGTGGGACAGCTTATGAGCTGGGAGACGTGACCCAGGTGACTGAGAAGGCCCTCAATGCATTGGCGTTCCCAACCAGACACGGGCATTTCGTGCCTTGCTTTGCAGGCGGGAGGCAGTGTGTAATGATGAGGCAAGCTGGCCTGCTTTTGTCCCGCCCGGCTCCCACATGGCTAGCTTTACACCCGAAATAACAACACACAAATCGTATTCATTTAAACACGGCCTGTCCCAGTAGTTCCAGCCTCTTATTGACTAATTCTCACTTCTTGATTAACCCATTTCTAATAATCTGTGTAGCACCATGAGGTGGTGGCTTACTGGGAAGATTCTAACCTAAGTCCATTTCGGGCCGGAGCTTCATGGCATCTGCCTGACTCTGCTTTCTTTCTCCCAGCATTCTGTTCTGTCTACTCCACCCACCTAAGGGATGGCCTATCAAAAGGCCAAGGCAGTTTCTTTATTAATCAATGAAAGTAACACATAGACAGATGACCCTCCTACACCGGCAGTGCCCAGGATTTTCCTACCCAAGGGTCGGGAAGGTAGCAGAGGACCAATCTTGAGAGGTAGTTTGTCTGAGAGCTCCACGTTCAGATAGAGATATGGTGCAGAACTGAACTGTGGTGACATCCTCTTGCCTTCTCCTTGCTGCAGTACACGTGCCAGGGCATCTGGCCACATCCTGTGGAGTCCAAGTCACTGTTCCCATTGCCATCCTGTAATTCCTCCTGGTATCTGTAGTGACCGGAGTCCTGTCTAGCCCAAGAAGATTCTAGCCATGTCAAGCGGGGAGAAGAAAGCCCGTGAGAGTGCTGGTGCTCGTCCAAGGCTGGATCCGAATCCCACGTGGGATGACACCAAGAACCCAGATGCAGTCACCCCAGGTAAAAAACAAAACCAGAAACAATAACAACAACAACAACAAGCCAGATAGGCCCTTGTAGGTCTCTGTCCACCTGGGTAACGTCCTAAAGTCTTTTGGTGGGTGGGAAAGCCCCTGAGAGTTCTGAAACGCATCCGAGGCAGGTCTGATTCTCATGTCAGATGACACCCGGAACCCCGATTCAATCACTCCAGGTTTGAAGAAACAAGATGGGCTGCCATATGGCTGTGTCCACCACAGGGGACATCCTAAAATCTCTTGGTGGGTGGGAAAGTTCCTGCCAGTGCTGGCACACATCCAAGGCTCATGCATATCATATTGCATGACACCAAGACCCCAGATTTCATCACCCAAGGTTAAAAAAAAATCAAACAACAACAACAAAAACAGAAGGGCCCTGTAGGGCTGTGTCCACCCCGGGGGACATCCTAAAATCTCTTGGTGGGTGGAGCACTGAGTGGATTATGTGCATGAACTTTTATTGGAATAGCAGGAGGTTTCAGATGCTAATAACTCTTGTTCAAGCTTCTTGGGGCCTTTAGGTTCCCCCACCTGAAATTTCTGCCACACAGGAAACCTGCCACATGCCTAGTCAACATGCCTCTCCGGGAGCACATGGGTCACAGTGACTCTCTGGAAGGCCTGTACAGGTGCCTGGACCAACTGGTCTGAGAGTCAAGCCTAAAGTGGTGTGTGTGTATGTGTGTGTGTGTGTGTGTGTGTGCGCGTATCTCTGTATCTCTGTGTGTCTGTGTCTCTGTGTGTGATGTATATGTGATATGTATGTGTGTGTCTGTGTGTCTGTATGTCTGTGTCTCTGTGTGTGATGTATATGTGACATGTATGTGTGTGTGTTCATGATTTCACGGATGACTATTGAAAAAGTGTAAGGAACAGATGCTGGCTATGGAATCTAGAAACACTATAATGACACTGCTTTCCGTGGGGGATGATGAGAACAGCACACTTTGTTTCAAAATAGTTTTCCTCTTTTGTTTTAAAACACCAGGAAGAGAAGTCATTGATGTCAGTGGTGAGGACGGTACTTCCTCTGGAACAGAAGGGCAAGAGGCCAGGTGATACGTTTTCATGTTTTCACGAAATAAATTTAGAAAAGTCTGGCTGGAGAGAGGGCTCAGTGGAAGAGTGCTTAAGGTGCAAACACAGGAGCCTGAGTTCAGGCCCTCAGCACCCACAGATAAAGCCATGCGTGGCCACGCCCAGCTTTTAAGCCCAGAAGTGAGGGCTGAGGCATGGAAGAACCTGGGGGATATTGCGGGTCCTTGCTGATTGCCAGACTAACAGAATAAACGGAGATAGTAAGTAAGTAAGTAAATGCAGCAACTAAGGCGCATGCACCACGTGGATGTACTTGGGTGCATTGAGCTTAAGGATCTCAAAGCAGCATCCTACAGTAGATCAGATGTTCAATGTGGTAAGGAATGAAAATCTCATGCCTCCAACAAAGTACGGGTCCTGTCATAGAGCCTGTCTGACAGGAATAAGGTGGCCTGTTCTTGAAATGTGAATTGTATGTAGGCTGTGTGGCACCCTCCACTTCTTCCACTCACTACAAGAATGGCCTTTTATGTACATCGAAGTAAAAAGGTAATTTCTTTGCAGGAAGAAAATACAGAATTTATTTGAAGAATTTGAAGGTACATTCTAGGAGATATCAGGAATTTGAGAAAATTGTTTCAACCAAAGAAGTGCAAGGCGAGGGAGGTATCGCTTGGCAGACAAGAGAGTGTGTTTACTGCCTTGTTCTCAAACAGTGTCAAATAGTATTTATTAGATTACCAACTCTCTACTTCACGTTAATTGCCAATATTGAGAACATGACACCTGTGGTGTGGATGCTGTTACTTACTAACAGTGGGATCTTTGAAAATTAGATGTAATTATCTGTCTTCAAGGTTTTGATTCGCACAAGTGATATGTCTGTTTCTAATATCACATTTGAAGCCAGCCAGTGGTGGCACATGCCTTTAATTCCAGCACTTGGGAGGCAGAGGGAGGCAGATCTCGGTGAATTCGAGCCCAGCCTGGTCTACAAGAGCTAGTTCCATGACAGGCACCAAAGCTACACAGAGAAATCCTGTCTCGAAAAACAATCCAAACAAAATACCACATATTACTTTACTTGTTTGTATTTTAGTCCAGCTCTCTGTCTCCTCTCTCTCTCTCTCTCTCTCTCTCTCTCTCTCTTTCTCTCTCTCTCTCTCTCTCTCTCTCTCCCTGTGTGTTTGTACGTATGTGCGTGTGCATTGCGTGTGTGTGAGTAGGGGTGGTGGCTAGCCTCCCTTAAATACCTGACCACTGTTTAATGTGTAAAGAATGGCACATGCAGTGGGGAGCTGAAGTCAGCACTGGGACCATTGTATGCGCAGACTGAGTCCTGCTTTAAATTTCTCTGTCAGAAGTCAGTCACACAAACAGTTAAAAAAAAACATTACAATCTGAGAACGTTCTAGGAGCTCTGTAGAGGTTTCTGACAGAGAATCGATTCTGGAAACTTCAGGAATCAGGATAGGGAGGTAGCTGAGTGGGAGAGCACTCACCTTCTATGCTTAAGGCTCTGGGTTCCATCCCCAGTACCACAGACTTATCGATCAGTGTGGTTCCCCCGTTAGAATATTCAGGGTGTCTACCCTGTCAAATTTGCCTAAAAGCTCCAATGGCTACAATAGTTACAGTATTTTCATCTGACTGTGCAATAATCTCTGAGCCTTTGGAGATCTTTGTAAACGGACTACTGTTGTGTTTTGCACAAAGCGGCCCAACAGTCCCTCAGAATGTGTCCTTGAACTGGAGCATAAATATGTACATTGATTGAATTTTACCTTTTAATGATGCCCCATGAGGAAATTACACAGCGATTTGAAACCCTTTCTTGCCAGTTTTGCTAAGTTCCCTTCACTGTGTTTTGTCTGTAATATATAGACACTGAAGTCCAGCTCTCCAATCTCACATCAAGGTCATAAATACTGAAATTCTTGACTGAAAGAAAGGAGGCAGATATTCTTGCCATTGACAGATTGTTTCCCTCTATTAATAGCAAGTGGTTTTCTAAGTAGAAAACTAAAGTTGACGGAACTTTACAGTAATGGTTTCAAGAATGTGTTTCTATACAGAGCCCAATAAGAACTGTCTTCAGGGCAACAGCGAAAGATTCACAGCGATCATCACGGAGTCTTTCCAAACCTTGGAGCTGAAATTTGAGGATATTCTAAAAATCCAGGGCGAGCATAGGTACGGTTGTTGCTTCTTGGTGCTGTTATCCCAGACGCTTTGACATTTGGTTAGTAAGCACGATGGCTAGAGGTTGAGGAATAGCCGTGACCCCCACGGGCCAGAAGCTCAGTTGGATAACGTGTTTGGCTTGGCATTTGTGTATAGGGTAGACTTCTTTAGGCATGTTATAGCCTCACATCATCACCGAAGTCAGCTGCATTTCCTAGGCATGAATTACGATGACCGTTTTGACACATTGCTGTTGAGTCAGTGGAACAGGATGCATCACGTGAACGTGCTGGGCACCTGGAGCTTGAAATCCTCAAAGCATTCATCCCACAGTCAGTTGAGCCTCTGTTCGGTGCCATAGAAATGAAAATCCCATGCGTCCAAAGCCGTATAGCTATCAGGAGCAGTGTTCTCTATGCTACTGTACCGAGATTCACACTGGCACAGCGTGAGGAAGAGCAAGCGGGTAGGCCACCACAGAATTCTCTGATGGGAGCGAATGTGCATGCTATTTGGACCTGTTCTTCAGAAAGAGAGAACTAACCACAAGTTGTGTCTGTCAGACAGATGAATATTTGTGGAATGATAGTAAAACAATAGTTCTTCCTGAGCTTTCTGGCACAAAGGCGTGGGAAGGTACTTCTCTCTCAGCAGGGAGGAGCAAATGCTGTGATGTAGAATGAAATAATCCAATCAGCTTCCTTTTCCCTGTCTGCATAGTTTAGAGGCCATTTCCCCATCCTCCACCAATAGCGTTAGTGAGGGCAAGTCAGTCGTGCTTCGAATGTACTTTCTTCCTATTGGGATGGAGTATCACACTGTTCCTTGCTATATCATTCACAGGCAGAAACTTTATCATTAATATTCTCTTCAGATGAAGACTTTGAAAAGAAAGATATCCGAGGATGCAGCTGAAGTCAAGAAACATGCAAAAAAAAAAAAAAAAAAAAACCTCACTGTGAGTGTCAAGCAGCTTAGCTTTCAAGGAATCCATTGTGTCAGCATCAGAAGTAGCAGGGCTTCCTGCAGCAAGTCTGGAGGGAAGGAACGAGACAAGGACTTAGGGAGGCAAGCAGGGTGGTAGATGTGGTGACAAGAGACTGCCCACTGACTGTTTCCCCCTGGTTTGTTCCTTTACACGCAGAGAGATGACAAGGTCAGTGATGGTTAGCAGCCATCAAGGTGGGGGGTGGGGTGGGCGGGTGAGCAGGCACTGCCTGGAGAGTGCAGGAGAAGGTATGGGATTGTATCTTAAGAGGGAGCCCTTTCTGATCCACCCAAGAAGTGCAGACACCAGGAGCAGGAGGCCCACCAGAGCCTTCTGACACAGTGAAGAGGCAGGCAGAGTGAGAGCAGTCCCTGTGGCTGTGGCAGAGCAGGTGGAGGCTTAGTCTTCAGTGCTTGGAGTTCAGACCAGCCCACTCCCAGAGGTGAGGAAGGCAAGGCTTCAATTTGTGATGGCCATGGGATGACTGACTCTCCTTTAACCTGGAGATTTGAGTGAGGTTTTTATGAGTTTTGGGGCACAAATAAATGCCTGACACCGAACAGTGCC